ATATATATATAGCCAACCTGCTACCAATCGTATTGTCGAGTTCTTTGAAGGCCTGTTTTCATTGCCTTTGCTAGAATTCACTTAGCTCTGAGCAGAAAGAGCTTCACTGTTTTGAGTAGTGAAGCGGATTTGAGTTAATTCTGGGGAGAAACATCTAGAAAGGCTAGAATTATCCGTTAAATTGCTGCTATGGTTTGAGTTTCCAAAGCACAGGAATGACTTTGCAGTAGGAGCTGTTGGGTTTATCTGAGCGAGTCTTCCCGGGGCAGATCATCACAGCGGGGTGATTATATTAGTTGTTTTTGCACCCGTTGCTTGTATATATTTTTAAGAGGTGAAACAAACTGACAGATTTCCCCAATTGCCTGCTTTTTATTTTATTAAAAGTTTTTTGTTTTTTTTAAAATATATTTTTATTGATTTCAGAGAGAGAGGGAGAGAGAGCCATCGATTGGCTGCCTCCTGCACGCCCCCTACTAGGGTTGAGCCCACAACCAGGGCCTGTGCCTCCACCAGGAATCGAACCCTGACCTCCTGGTTCCGAGGTCGATGCTCAACCGCTGAGTCACGCCGGCAGGGCGCCTGCTTTTTATTTTAAATATGTACATTACGTCAAGCAATAAGTAGAAGCGTGACCTCTGCCATTTTGCAACTGGTTATAAAAGAAAACATCTTAAAATACTCATTTCACTTCCCGATAAAGTTTTTGTGTATTTAAGTCACACTCAAATAAGAATTATTTTAGGTCTAGAATGAGAGGGTATTGATTTGAATCTGTGAGTGATTAATATATGTCTCTAGGTTTCTTCACATACAAATTTCCAAGTATCGTTCAGAGCGAGTCTGTAGGGTTTAGGCCAGTATTGGCTAAAAAAAAAAATTTAAATATGTTGTAATTCATCGATACCAGAGCAGAACTTGAGCTGCCGGATTTCATAATTCCAAGTGCTCCATTTACTTAATCGTGTCTTATTTCTCAGTCCTACAGCCTAAAAAAATATGCAGTCGGTTTTCTACGGAACATACAGTTCTAAAACGCATTAGCACGATTTGGCGTAACGTCGAATCGGAATGTTACGGGAAAATGTTCCTGTTCACGGGAAGAAACCCCACTTCCCTTTCTCTCAGCTTTTGATCAGCAAATCATATCTAAAACCACATTTCTGTTCAAATTCTCCTTCCGCTGTCGCCCAGGACTGACAGAAACCTCAAGCCCCGGCTGAGTCTGCCCGTGATTTCTCGCACCTCGGCGGCTGCCCGCGGATGGGAAATACCGCTGGGCTGGAGATCTGCCGAATTTCAGTGCCTGAAACAGCTATTATATCTCCTTACGCCCGCCAACAACCCCGTCTTAGCAGAGAGCTAGCTTGGCTCCTAGAAAATAACTAGCAATTTACCCAAAACTCTCATCTGTGCACCACAAACTCTAACACCTTGGGTTCGGAGCTTCTCTCTTCTTTTTTTCATTTTTCCAAATCATCCTCCAGCCTCTGTCCAAGGCTGCCCTTCACGCCTCCTCGGGGCCAGTGCGCCCCCTCTTTCCTGGCTCCCTGCTGGCCCGTTGGCTCTCATTTCAACACGTTCGAGTCTGCCCCCCGCTTCCCGGCCCTGCTGGCCGCTCGGGCCCTCGGGCCTCACGCTCCACACGCAGCGGCCGGGGCCGGCCAGCACCTTGCTCAGTGTTTTGCCACATTTGCTTAAGATTTTTTATTTCTATTTTTCAGACACGCTCTCGTCCCGTGCCTTTCCTAATAACACAGCCTCCGGCAGTATTTTTGTTCCTTTCTGGTTATTTTTCCCCCTCCTTCGGTTGAGGTCGCCGTCTGCGTGGCGGTTTTCCCTGTGATACCTCGGGGGACATTGTTGGACCCCGTAGCCCGGTCCCTGCCTCTCCAGCTTTCCTTCCTGACGCTCTCTCTCTCCCCTACCCTACGCTCTAGGTATATGGCTTTTTTTCAGTGTATTCTGCTTTTTTCTGATCTCCGGGACGCCATGCGCATTGTTTCTCCAGCCTGGACTGTTCCCTTCTGCGCAGGCCCCAGCCCCAGCCACCCTTAGACTGGCCGAAGTGTTCGTGTCCGTGGACTTTCCTTCCTGCGTGGTTTAGGACTCTCCAGATTAGATTAGATTCCCTTATGCTGGCCGCTGGTGTCCTGTCCTGTTAATAGAACGTCATTAAGTTTTATTGCCTTGTGTGTTCTAGATCCCTCTTCTCTAGTGGTGGGACCCTATTTTGTTTGGTTCACTGTTATTCCCCCCCACAGGTGGAAAGAATAAAAATTCCACATTTTCCTTAATGACTCTGGCTCATTTGTACTCGAGAGACACCCCCCTTCCCTCGTTAGGAACGTTTGTGAAGTTAGCAAGCCAGTGAATTTTCAAGTTGGCTCCAAGTCTTCTCACCTTGTTGAAAAAACAGTGCTTTGCACACAAACAAGATAGTCCTGGCATCTTCCTTCGCGGATGCGGCGGGCGTTGGCCGGGAGGGACTGACCTTTAGCCTGGCCTTGCGTGGATGCTTTTGAGTGACACTGATTGAGCACAAGTTAAATGGGACAAAAAATGTACTGGTTATGGAAAGGATTGTATTGAAGAGAGTTGCTCCTTAGATCTCAACTAAGAAAGTTCCAGCCTCCGACGTTAACAGGCTTGTGCCTGAGACAAACACCTCATCGGTTTAGCCTTAATTTCTCATTCGTAGGATTCTGATCCCACAGTGTGGGCGAGCCGAGCACCGAAAGCTGTAGTCAAACAAAATAAATACTAACACTATACATCCTGCCTTTTCAAAGGTATAAAGTCTTCGTATTTTTTAAATAGCGTAGTTGAATCACACTGACATTTTAAGTTATTTAAATTTTTGTTTTCAGTTAAGGGCCGGAAAATATGAAAGGCCTGATTACAAAGGAAAATAGAATATTACTGCCTTTATCTCACTTTACCTCTTAAAAAGCCTCGACCGGGAATTTGGAACACCTGCGCTGGCGATGCGCAAAGGCTTCCTGAACCTGTCTCCTTCCAAATGGAACGATTTAATAAAAATTCGTACGTTTTTCTTACCACCCTGTGACAGTGTCTCATGAACGCAAGAGAGTGACCACGTTTATGTAAAATCCAAGCGTGTCTTCTTTCTTTCATATTTATTTGGCGTCTAGATTGTTGGTGGCAAAGTTTCTTTCTAAAGCGAGGCCTGGCGGGTCCTCCGAGCCCCCCGTAGACGTGAGAGAGGAGACACCCAGTGCTCGCCCGCGTCGCCGGCTCCGATGACTCCCGCCGGCCTTCGCATCCCGTCGCCCCTAAAGCCGGCCTCAGATCTGGTATCTGGGCAGCGACCCTCCGGGAACAGAAAATCCAGCCTCTGTGCATTACTTTGAGAGTCAGATTATTTTTTCAGGGCCCCCTGGTTTCTTCCCTCGCAGAACCTGGGAACAGCGGCTGCCGAGATGCGCCCGAGCCGGTGGAGCTCCGGCCTCGGGCAGTGGCCGGGTTGGTCCATTTCACACCGTGGGTGCGCGCGATCCTGCCGCCCACGGTTATGTTTTACTTTTCCGATAAAACCAACGTGGGAACATCCGTAACTCTGAAAGTTTCCATTTCGGAATCTTAAAAATCTAAAGCACACGAATAAAATACTGAGTTCTACAAGTAGTGATTTTTATAAGCATCTCACCGAGTTATTAATTTTACTTCTTCCTATTCCAAAGGTCACGAAAGGTCTTAAAAGATAAAAATATTTCATTTTAATCGCCATCCGCTGTAAATGTTTCAAGGAAAATCTGAAGATTATTTGAAAAGTATCTTTGGCGATGTTAAGAGTATTTTAACAACTGTTGCTGTGAAAGTGTTTTTGTCGTTGTTGTTTCTGTTCATCTGCCTCTGTTTAATGCCCTGTATCGATTATTTACAGATCCCGTGGTCTTGTGGAAGTTCCCAGAGGACTTTGGAGACCAGGTTAGAATCACTTCCTTTTATGAAAAACATTTGAAATTAGAGTATTATGATTATTACTACTGTTACTGCTACTACTGTACCTGAATTGCTGTCTGTATTTTCTCCTGACCAACCCAGAGAACAAAGGCCACGTGTGTGGGATGTACGTGGAAAATCTTGTAAAATTACCCTGCAGGTGGGCGATGACCAGGCCTCATCATGAAACCGATAGGAACTGAATATTCAGGTGGTTTTTTTTAAAAAATATGTTTTTATTGATTTCAGAGAGGGAGGAAGGAAGAGAGAGAGAAACATCAATAGTGAGAGAGTCATTGATCGGCTGCCTCCTGCAGCCCCCGACTGGGGATTGAGCCCGCAACCCGGGCCTGTGCCCCAACCGGGAACTCGTGACCTCCTGGTTCCTGGGCCGACGCTCAACCACTGAGCCACACCAGCCAGGCCGAGTCTCGGTTTTAAGCAGTTCATTCAGAAATCATTCTACAAATACGAGATTTTGAGGTCAGTGTGTAAGACCAGGAAATCACACCGAAAATGCCGTTTCAGGGGCACGGTGACCATCAGTCAGGTCCTGGGGCAACCCGGGAGCGCTCTTTCACCAAACTAGAGGGTGTGCTCTTAACCCGTGTCAGCCCTTTAGAGAAAGAGTAGGTTTATAAACATCTCAAGTATATAAAAGAAGTCCCTGCCGTGGGGACGTGGTTTTGGACACGTGAAGCTTCATCGGGTTTGTCCCCAAGTCATGTGCAGTTAGGTTAGAGCCTTAATGACTCAGTTTACCGTTTTGAAATACTGGTTTTCTCTCTGTCTTCTCAATGCTCCCTTGTCCACTGAGCCAAGAGCAAACGCCCTGTCCACCCCGAGAATTCCTAGGGGATCTGAAGACTCCTCCTTTCGGTTCCCACGGGGGCGACAGTGCCCTTGTCACGTCCAGCCGCAGTGGATTTCCCAGGGAGACCCACTCCGCCGCTCCTCTCGGTGACCCACCGACTGGCGACAGGACTTTCTCAGTCGGGCCTGAATTGCTGCCTTGTTTTCCGGGTCTGTGGGGGTCAGTGGGACATTAATAAGCCCTCACATACTTAGCAAAATGCTAACGCAATTCACCATGTGATGGAGATGAACCTCGGTCACCCCAGGGTTCCAGGTCCTGGCAGATCTTACGGATGGACCGGCAGAGGGTGGAGCTGGAGGAAGCTATAGACGCGGCTGTGCCCAGTGACTGACTCGATGGCTGCAGAAATCAGACTTACGTGGGAAACTAGCCAGGGGCCGTGGAGGGTGGCTTTGCTATGTGCCGCTTGCGTAAGGGAAGAGCTAAAATATTTGAAAATCATTTCTTAAATCTTAACACTTCCGAAAAAATATTTAAACAGTTGTGTGTATGTGTTTTTAAAAAGTGAGTTTTTGGGGTTTTTTTGGCCTGTTTGGACTTGATTCTGTCATTTTTAACTACAAGTTGATCGCGTCATACACAGGAAAAAAATAATTCCATTGCGTCCTATACCAACTTTCGTTTTTCTAAATGAAAAGCATTAAAAGCCTTGAAGCGATTTTTGAGGTGTGGTGGTTAATCTTTGTTTCACTACCCCTGTGAGTATAAACATTATGTAAAAACACGTATTTCTGAGACAAATCGATCTTTAATTTTTAATGAAATAAGAGAATTATAATCTTGTCATTACTGCCTACTGTTTCCTATTAAAATATTTTATCAGTGATCTATCTTAATAACTCTAAAATATCCATTATTTCCTGTCAGTTTGTTTTGGATACGCAGCGTCATCTTTTTTTGTACATTCCTGTGTCTGCAAACGAAGAATCAGAATAAAACGTTATAAGCGCAGGCCTGTGGGAAGGCGCTTGAAATTCTATCTACGATTATCGTTCTAATTATATTTTTCTCTCTGTCCATCTTCCTTTATGTGGACAAGACGTGTTTCTTTTGTAGATGCCGTATTAGGAAGCTCAAGGCAAAATCTGACTGCTTTCTGGTTTTACCTGCCTGCTGTCGTATCCTGACTACTTTAAAAATTTTAAAATTTTACTGCAAACAGGGGAGCTCATTGGGAAAAGCAGTGATATTCCAGAAAGCTTGCTTTATTTTAGAAATTTTACTGGAAACCAGAACTGTGTAGTCGATCAAAACCCCTACTGAAAAGAATATTTTCACATAGATTTTAGGTAGTAAAATTGGAAAGCCCCTGAAAAATTGGCACTGTTTTTCTGCTGAAGGGGTGAACAGGTTTCACTTGAACAAGCTCTTAGAAGGGAGGTTTTTATTTGTTTTTATGGCAGTGGGATTATAATAACCATGCGAATGATTCCCATCAATCCTGGCAGGGCTGACATTACTCAGGAGCCTATAGAAATGAAATAATAACAGACGATACAGATTTAAAGAGATAAACGCGGTTTCACGAAAACTTACTTTTTTATTGAGCAGTCAACACCTGGCAGGTGAATTTGGAATTTAGCCCTAGAAAGAGTTCTGGATCTTTGAGACAGAAAAGTTGAAAAATATATATTTTTTTCAAGATGACATCGCAAAGGCCGAAGTATCAGAAGCGAATTTCACCAAGTCAGGAGAGAAACAGTGAAACACAGTATTAGGGCATGAACGTCTCTAAAATAGGAAGTTAAAACGAGTAAACTACGAACCGGGACGGACGCAAGAATGACGCCTTCAGGTGTCGCTGGACGAACATTTTTGAAATCTTTAAAAATTGACCTGAAGTCGCGTCTCATGAAATGTGTTACTCTGAGATCACTTTGCTTGTTCTACCCGTATTGTGCTTTGAAAAATGCCTTGTAGGGGAGATTTCTTTCCAGGAACAGGCGTAAAGTCGAGTGAGGCCTGCGCCCCACCCGAATTGCCACCTTTTTACGTTTTGCTCTGTTTCCCCCCCCACTTTCTCCCCCCTCTGGGGCATTATTCGTGGATACGTCCTTTTCAAGGAATATTGCCGGTTTGTTTACTAACGTTTACCGTGAAAACCTGAAGGGCAATTGGGCAGAACAGGTAGATGGGACGGTGTCTCACTGTTAACCTCTTGAAGTTTAAAAAACACCCTCTCATGAGCTGAAAATGTTGAACTTGGTCAACATATGGTCCCAGCCGGCCTCGTCCCCACCCGCTCTTTTGTTACCTCGCGATTGTTACCAGGCTTAATGGCAGTTGTGAGCCCCAGCCCTGGAGGTGGGGGTGGGCCCACCCTGGGGAGGCGAGGTGGAAACCGCAGCATGGATTATGGAAATATGGATGGATCTCAAAAGAGACCCCTTGTCAAAGGACGGAGCTCAAAGGGGAGCCGGGAAAACCGATGAAAAGATGATGGAGTATCCTGCGAAAGTGATCATTCGCAATCGTCGCTTTCATGCCCAGCTGCCGCGTCGTGGAGGGAAGGGGGGGCGCGTTTGTGTGCTACGGGGGAGCTAAAGGCGGCCAGATTAACAGTATTATTTATTAGACTTATTTTCATTTTCAGGGAGATAAAATATGTGCATTTTTAATAGGCCTCGCCTGTGTGAGACTTGCTAAACCTTAAAGACGTACTGTTGGCTACGATGCGCCGTGGAAATATTTCCATTAGCCCACGCGACTGGATGCAAGCGCAACCCGTAAACAGACGTAATTTCAAAAATTAGCTTCGGGTTGGGTACCTGCGAAGTATTTTAACTCATAGCGACGGCGAATGCTACCTTTGAAATACGGATTATTGTCTGTTACTTTTACAGCCCAGCTATTCACATGCAGAGCTACATGTTTATTCATGTGTGTTTTTCTAGACAAGTGGGAACTGCGGCCTCCCCGGCAGGCCCGCGAGGGTGACCTGCGTCTCTCCCCCGGGCCTGTTGGGCCAGAAGGGGCGGCGGCCGGCGCAGGCCCAGCTGCACGTGCACTTGACCCGCTTCTGATGGGCTGTGGGCAAGGAAAGGAGAGTCCTCGCCCGGCTCTGAAGCCGGGAAGCAGAGCTAAGGCCTTGGGGTGGAGGATCGGAATTGAGGGGGGATGATGTTTTCAGTTTTGCAGGTGCCGGGATTCTGGTGGGGACGTCTTCCAGGTGGTAGGAAGCCTCAGGAGAAGATGGGATGTGGGTTCATCCAGAAAGAAGTAGCGGAAACGGCCCTGAACCTCGCATCTGGCCGCAGAGCCAGGCCTTGGTCCCTTGCGGGCAGCGGTGAGATTAGATCCCCCCTCGGAGCCAAGGGCCTGAAGCCAGATCTCAAGGACGCCAGGGGAGAAGGCTTATGGGGAAGGACCCGGAGGTGGCGTAGCCCGAAAAGAAAGGACAGAGGCAGGGCAGCCAGGGAAAGTGGACGCAGACATCTCGGGGAGATGCTCGTAAGCGGGGACCTGGGCTTCCCGGGTCAGGGGACAGACCACTCTCAGTTTTCATCCCGAGTGTTTCCTACGCGATAGTGCCGAACAAACACAGATGAACGAGTGAATGAAGGGTTACAGCATGCCGGCGAGTCAAACACGACGGAGGCCGGGGAAGTGCAGCAGTTGGAGCCCTGGCTGGTGTGGCTCAGTTGGTTGGGCGTCATTCGTGCGCCCAGAGGCCGCTGGTTCGGTTCCGGGTGTTGCCGGCTCAGTCCCCAGTAGGGGGCGCACAGGAGGCCGCCGATGGATGTTTCTCTCGTCCACTTTTCTCTCCCTTCCCCCCCCTCTAAAATCAATAAAAACATATATATTTCTTAAAATGTACAAATTAGAAATCCCTGCAGACTGAGAAGACTCAACAGCAAGAAGTAAGAGGCTTGTCGGTCCGACATCCGCTCAGCGGAAGGACGGACTGGTCTGGTTTTACTTTTTCGCTGACCAAGGGTTGCCTCTAACTTTCCCAGGGTTTCCCTTGGTCTGCTTTGACAAAGAAGTCACCCCTCTTTTGTTTTTAATTACTCCTGATTTTTCCATATATCCCAATAAAATAATATAAAGGATGACCAGAAGGTAGGAGATAATTTATTCAGGAGGGTTATCAGCGCTTCACTGGGGAAGTTTATCAGATAACTGTATATTCATAATTTCTGGTTTCGGAGCGGGGATCCTTACGAGAGGCCGCTCAGGGAGCTGTGGTTTCTCTTTAAGGTCATTGAGGCCAAAGTGGACCAGATGAGGCGTGAGAAACACGCTGCGATTTGGCGAGACCTGTTTGGCGGCTTTCTGCGGGTGAAAAGAGCCAGTGTCCAGGTCCTCAGAGAGGGAGTTGGGCATTACTAGAACTGAGACCTGAAGCGGCACCTTTGTTTATAGTCCCAGCCAGAGGCCCGGGGTGACCTCAGCGAGGGGGGTGGGTGCGCCCTCCGGCGCTTCTCCAGCAGGTGGATCCTCTAACGGGCGGGCAGATTCGCTTGCACAATAGTCGCTCACCGTATTTCTATTTAGAATCTCAAGACGCATTCATTAAAATAAACACTTAGGACTTCAAATTTAATTGTAGTTCGACCTATTAGAAATAATGGGCCTGGACATTTTTTATATAAAAGAAAAGTCTGGTGTAATTTACGATAACCTAAAAAAAAAAACAATCAGAGTTCCTGGATTCTTGGCTTCTTAATCCAGCCTGCTGACTGGATCCGAGGAATGCTTTATTTTAATTACTAAGTACTGAGCTCCTGCTTTAATCCGAAGGGTCCGAAAATGCCGAGTGAACTTCACGGATTGTTATTGGTAAAGGTAAAGCTGACCTCAGGCGGTTTGCCGTCCGAGCTACAGCTTTCCCGTGTCTTTGACCAGCGAATACAGCTTTGACCTAATTCCCACTCTGGCCCAGGACAATCAAGTTCCCTCTCAGCCCGGAGCCCCTCGATTACTGTGAACTTTGGGTGACACCGTCCTGCCAGTGTCCCTCTACTATCATTTACTCTACTTGCTCTGGCTGGACCCTCTTTTTGATATGGGACTTAGGACTTTGTTACCGATTTTCAATAATGTGCTTCCAAATTTAATCACTTGGTAGTTTGCTTACCTGTGAGAAAGAATCCCCTTATAAGCCCTTATTTTTAAGTCTGTTATTTGAAAGGAGTTAATTTATGTTTTTACAGTAAATCTGATATTCTCAGGAGTAAACGACAAGCATAAACATAAAGGAACATTGGGGTTTTTAGTTGTTGTTGTTGGTTTGTTTGCTTTTTGCCCCAGGACTTAATTTCAAGGGACACGAACCACCTAGGGCGGGTAGGACTCACAAGGGCGATTCCATAGGGCCCCACCCCGTCTTCCCCGAGTCTTCTCGTCCCGGCCTCTTTGAATTTTCTGGACGCCCGGTTGAACTTTGGTTCTGAAGTGTTCATTGTATAATCTTCACTTTCCACGTAGAGGGACAGTGTTCACCAGGGAGAGACCAAGTAGGCCTCGGATTCGGGCGTCTGCCGATTAGATACTGGGACCCACGTGAAAACAAAGTAAAAATAAAATACATAGTGGGGGGGAATAACGGTTAGAATATTTCAGAGAATTGAGAGGATTTTGAAAACCCAAAGAATTTTTCTCAGCTAAGGAAATTAGGTGTCTTGTAAAAACAAAAGCCTGTAGAAAATGGGGGGAAATAACGTTTGAAATGTATTTTCTTAAACCTTTTACATAATCTATGGGTGCCAGCCTAGAAGTGTGTGTGTGTGTGTGTGTGTGTGATCAAAAACACTGTCTGGTGGAAATATCAGACTTAATGAACTCTCCCAATAAATACAGAAGTACCCCTTTTAATTAACATTATTGCTAAAAGCATCCCCCCGACACTAATTGCATGTATCTTATCCCTCTGTCTCCCTCTCTCTCTCCCTCCCTGTCTCTCCCTCTTTCCTTCTCTCTCTCTCTCCTTTTTTAACTCCACTTTGAACAGCACCTGTAATTAAGGAAGGACTCGGAGCCGGGGGAGCTAGGTAGGACTTGCATCTATTGATCTGTGTAAACCCAGCTTCCACTGTCAGGAGAGAAACAGTCAACTGCTGAGCTGCTTTGTCACTGACATAAGCTGAGAGAGGATTTTTTTGTCTATACTGTTTATACGCCAGTCTATAGACCTGCTGGCTGGCTGAATTTTAAAGAGCGCGGAGGTTTAAAGACTTGTCCCCCGAGGGGCGCCTCTGCCAGTTGGGAAGCGAGCTGAGGCTGTCTTGCAGGAGCGTGTGCATGTGTGTGCTGGTGGGAGGAGGGGTGGGTGTGAAAGCTGGAGCCACTAAGGGAAAACCTTCTTAATTTGAAGCTTAAAATCTGTGTGAAATAGATTGCTAATTTTTGGTATATTTAGAAGCAGACAATAAATTTTGTATCTATCTATCTGTCTATCTTTGCATCTATGCATCTGTGTATCTGTGTATCTGTGTGTATGTATCTGTGTATCTATGTATCTGTGTATCTATGTATCTGTGTATCTGTGTATCTGTGTGTTTATGTATCTGTATCTATGTATCTATGTATCTGTGTATCTATGTATCTATGTGTCTGTGTATCTATGTATCTATGTATCTATCATCTATCTATTGTTACAGAAATGCTATGAACACTTTTGCAGGCAGTTATCTAGATAGTGTTCCTTATGTGTACTAAGTGTGGCTAATGGTCTCACTTCCCCAGCACATAAGGATTTAGCGATGGTCCCATGAACTGTTCTCATTTGTAATGAACCCATTTTCATCTTCAGTCATTTAAATTATTTCAAGGTTAGCCGGGCCTTTCGTTACATTTAGGGAAACAGTTAGCTTTTCCTAAATCTGGGGTCTTTTAAGGTCCACGTTCCTGAGCAAACGGGGCTCCCCACCCTAAAGACAGAAGGTTGCTGTTTTACGGGATGCTTCCCTCGCTGCCTTGGCGACATGTGGCGCTTGAAAGTTTCTTGGGTGCCAGCACTGGAATTCACAGTGATTTATTTTTCATTGAAACTGCGCTGCTCTCTATGTTTTAAAAGAGAGTGAGAGATTTTTCTTTAAAACACTCACTCCCGTGTTTCTGTATAGAGTTTAAATATTTAGATGTTGGTCATTTCTCTGGGTGTAAGTTTTATTGGTAAAGAGGTAATAGGTAAGGTATTTTTCTTTGGGGGGTTGGAACTGCATTGAGATATGAGCTCTCTTTTTAACAGAAAAAGGCTCATCCATTTCTGCTTTGTCTTATTCCATCACCTGGCTTTGAACTCGTCTGCTATCATCTTCAGTTCTAAAGTTTAACCTAAGCATCAGAGTTCACCTGAAGTTGTTTTTCATATAGAAAAAAATAGATCTTTTTCTATTTGGGGCCAAACGGCTGGTAATGATTTGCATGTTGTTATAACTGTGAGTACGCGTACGATTTCTGAAAGCTTTAAAAAATTATTTTAGGATGAACGGAACATCGCGGCAGGTTTCAGAATCAATAAGGTCATTTTCTACGCTTAATTAAAACATGGGTCTTCATATTGGGCAGTTTTTAAGCGAAAGGCCGCAGAATGTGACGCTGCGTTGCTTTCAATGTAAGAGCTCGTGTTTAGACGGACGTGTAAGGGTTTCATCCGAGATACAAGTCGGCGTTCCTGTCGCTGAATTTGCCCAGTCGCAGGGCCGTGCTCCTGTGGCTACAGAAGCCTCCCTCTAAACCCTTCTCCTGTGGGACGCGTGGAGTTTCCTACCTCCCAGTAATTCATTCTGCCGCGAGCTTCATTCCCTTTAATTGAAACAACATTTCTTTCTCCGAGCCAGGATCTGTCAGAAGTCCCCGTGGCTAGTCTGTGGGACCAGTAGCCTCCCCATATGGTGCGGGCGCTTCTCGTAAAACCCATATGGCCTTGTTGAGGGGACCCCAGCGGGGATGTGAAGGGTGTTAATACCCTTCAGGCCAGGCCTCGGCCTCCTGGGGCCCCCGGGCATTGTCTCTGCAATCTGCCCACGCACACCCTGGGCTCCTTTTTAATAATCAATTATTGTGGTCGGGGGACCTGTGCTATTTTCCTTAAGAAACACCCCCCCTCCTTGTTTTTCCCTCTAGAAGATGTCTCGGGTTTTAACGGCGTCCTTATAAACAGCCTAAAGCTTTCTTTTTTCTTTCTTTTTGCCTTTCCAGGAAGTTCTCCGGAGTGTGCCGAAGTTCTGTTTCCCCTTTGACGTTGAAAGGTACAGAAAGTCACCGTTCGAGCCCCTTTCCCCGTCTCACCGAGCACTTAACAATGATTGTGCTTTTTAAAAAATGAAATGTCCTTTCTCTTTATTGCTCCCAACAACAAAAAAAGACTGGAGGCTCCAAATTAAATCCTGTTTGGGACTCGGAAGTCTTTCAAATCATGAGATCTTTAGTTTTCTGCGCTGTGGCCCGGTTAGGACATGTCTTAAGGCTCCAGTTCTTCTTTTTTGGGCTTCAGGTACATATTCTAAGCACTAGCAGAAAAAATCGTGTTAATCTGTCCTCAGAGCCTCAGAATTGTGTCTCTTAGAATCAGATGTGTATGTCCCGGCTTCCGTCTCACTTGTCCCCTTAGTCTGTGTGATGCTGTAAACCCGACGGGCCAGTGTCTCCCCAGAAGAGCTTTGGGGAGACCGCGCCCCATTCCGGAGGCCGCAGGGAAGCGCTCTGGGCAGTTCTGGAAATCTCGTTACGCTTGTATTTTACGGAATAAATACCGGAGGGGCAGCGTATTACCTGGGTGCAGCTGGAATTTCACAGAATATCTAGCCTTTTGAACATAATTGTTTTTCGTGGGATGTTCACACCCTATTATCAGTGGGGGTTTTTTTGTTTTGTTTTTTTAAAGAAGGCGGCAGGAGGGGATGCTAAAAGAAAATATATTTTAGGGAAATATCCCGCTCAAGATGAGGAAACACCTAAACTTTTACAATGCTAAAGACGCTGCTCGGAACGATGGGCTGGCTGGCGGGTGCTAGTGAGTGTTGCTGGTGGGTGGCAGCCTTGTTTTACCTCCTTTGGGGGAGCCAGTTGTACCTGCCAGTGTCGAGGTTTTCAAGGTAATAACGAAGACGAAATAGAGGAAGGAAAGCTGGGAAAGGGCGCTGTGAGTGTTGGACACCAGAGGGCCCAGAGGCACCAGGCCTGCGACCTCCTGGGCCGGTGCTCGCCGCTGAGCCACGCCGGCCGGGCCAGGTGTTGCCGCTCACGGTGGCACCTGACTCATGATTTAGTTCAGGCTCAGGCACGGCGCCCGCCTTTTGGTTTTAGAACCTCGCCGTAGCGGGGAGAACCGGCCGATTGGAAGGAGAAACCAGCGCCTCCTGCAGACGAACACTCGCATTTGCTTTTCTCTGCGCACGGTCTCCCGCGAGGCTCTGTGTTTTCCCGTCGCTGTTTTCCAGGGCGTCGCAGAATCAAGTGGGACAGCACTTTGCCTTCGTCCTGACGGACATCGACAGCAAGCAGCGGTTTGGGTTCTGCAGACTCACGGCCGGCGGCAGAATCTGCTTGTGCATCCTGAGGTGGGTGCTGGTACTAAGAAAATAAAGTCGGGTGCGCGGAGATTAACTCTCTTTCTTTTGCACTTTGGTTACTTACGCTTGGGATGCTTAAAAAAAAAGCATATCATTGTTTTCTTATTTGTTTTCTCAAAATCTGAGTTGTAAAAGAATTTCCTTTACTTTCTCTATGTAGCATCTATTAGGGTTAAAGATTTACCAGTAACCAGCAGAATTTTTGTTGAAAGAGTTGGCTCTTTTAAAGATTTGTTTTTCTGGATTCACTTCTGAAAAATTAAATAAGATAGGCGTTCAAGNAAAGATTTACCAGTAACCAGCAGAATTTTTGTTGAAAGAGTTGGCTCTTTAAAGACTTGTTTTTCTGGATTCACTTCTGAAAAATTAAGTAATAAGATAGGAGTCCAGANTTGGCTCTTTTAAAGATTTGTTTTTCTGGATTCACTTCTGAAAAATTAAATAAGATAGGCGTTCAAGTAATACATGTTTCATGGGTTAAATAGGGTACAAAACTCTTTATTTAAAAAAAGGAATAGTTTATTAATTTTCAGAGAGAGGAAGGGAGAGGGAGAGAAACATCGATGTGAGAGCAGCATCGATCAGCTTACGTCTTGCACGCCCCCTGCTGGGGGTCAAACCCGTGACCTGGGTGTGTGCCCTTGACCTTGAATTGAACTGGTGACCTCTTGGTTCTCTGGATGAAGCCCACCCAACAGAGCCACACCGGCCAGGGCCGGTGCAAAACTCTTGAATTCATGTGTTCATTTCTCTCACTGACCCAGAGCTTGACTTTCTGGAAGTGACTTTACTGCTTTAAGGCACAATTTGCAAACTGGTGACCCTGGAGAGAAGGCTTTAGAGGTGTCTGATTTGGCCCCGTGGTGTGTTAAAAATCTTAGAAGATGTTTCTGACCTTATGCATGTTAGTGAAATTTCGCATAGAATTCATGTTATTCATGTTTCCAATTCCTTTCGCTAAACGGGAGCATGTAGCAGAATAGAAGCTGTTCCCAAGGGCAGCAAGAAGCCGGACCTGGGCCGCAGGTGTTTAGCTGCGACACGGGTCTGCCTGTTAGCCACCAAGTCCGACCGGCCGCCCTGCCATCGCTTGCGGCGTCCGACGCGCGGATGGTTAGGAGCGTGGCCCCGCCTGTGCCCCAGCGGCTGAGTTGCTGGCTGTCGAGAAGAAGGGGTCCCGAGGGCTAGCTCTCCCTTCATAAGCCCTGATGAACCAGAAATCCAAGTTCTGTGAAGTATTCTATAAAAACGGGACTCTCTACTGTGATTATAAGGTGGATGTTGGCCGACCTAGATCCTACGGAAATATTTATAGAAAAAGAAATAACAAGAACCATTGCAGAGAAAACGTGGGTACGGGATTGATGTCCACGCCGTGAATTGGCTATTTAGCTGCAGTCACGTCATTCTTGGAGGGTTAGGGTGTAACATTTACTCCGAACGCTTGTTCGAGGTGGAGAAATGTTCAATCTTTTTTTTTTTTTAAATATATCTTTATTGATTTCAGAGAGAGGAAAGGAGAGGGAGAGAGAGAGATAGAAACATCAGTGATGAGACTCATTGATCGAGCCTGCAGCCCGGGCATGTGCCCTGACCGGGAATCGAACCCCGACCGCCTGGATCCTAGGTCAACGCTCAACCGCTGAGCCACGCCCGGCCGGGCATCCTTACAGTTTTGAGCTAGAAAACGTGCACGGCATGTGTTAAAGCCGCTTTTCTGCGTTCCTGGATGATGCTGTTCCAAGGCTTAAAAGTAATTTAAATTTGCCTTAGATTCCCCAGCTACGAAATTTGCACACAATGCTATAAAAACCAGGTGTGTGTTTTTTCTCCTGCTGGGTTTTATATTGTTCTATGACTTGAGAGTAAATATATTTGATTTCTATGTGTTTCGCTCGCTTTTTAGAAGAAATATTAGGACTTCGGCGTATTTAGTATAAACGTTGATACTGAATTTTGAATTTCCAGCTCCAGTTCTGCCCTCAAGCTCTTTCTAAGACGCACCTATCCCAGTTTAGCGAGATTTCAAAAATACCCTAAGATGTTAGGACCAGTTTAAATCTTATTTGTTGTTTGTATTCGAACTGCTTTCACAGGCTGGCAAACACGCAAGCAATAACGTCTTTTCCTGATTGGATTAACGTGATTTTACAGCTATAAAATTGTCGCCAGGGTTCAGAAGGAAATACCTTAATAGGAAGACAGATGGATGCCGAGGCCCTTTGTAGTGTCCCCGCTCCGGCCCCGTAACTCATACCACACCCGAAGCCTTCACACCGTTCCTTTGGGCAGATCCCTTGGAAGCAGAATGTTTCCATTTTACACATTTTGTGTCAATTTTCCAGACAGAAAAACAGCCTCTAGACATGAGAGGTTATGCTGCGGAAAAGCCGTTTCCTCGGTTTTATTTGATGACTCTTAAGCTAGGTTCCTGCCGGCCCCTTGGATTCTTGGTAGTTACCTGACTGTTTGACAAAAGCCATTTCCTTTCCTTTATTTAACCTTTGACTTGGGAATGTAAAAGTTTTATCAGCTCTGGGGTGGAAGCACAGGCCTGGGGGAGGCCTTCTGACCGCCGCGGAAGGGACCCAGGGTTTCCTACGTGCCTCTGCCTCTGGCCTGCGTCTCTGTGAGCAGTTGAAATAATCTTATAATGAACCTTCGGAGACTCTCCTGCCTTTTGTTTTAAAATAACTTGCCCTAACGCGTTTGTTTTTGTATTTGTATACGTTCCAAGACCAGGAGAGTCATGGGTGATCTTTGTTAAAGAAATCACATTTTCAGTTTATGAAAAACTTAAGTGAAATAGCTTATTTGTTGAATACATTTTTTGGTAAACCTGCGAGGATTTCTGTGGTTGGCCGTGAGAGAGAAATTTTGACCGTCTCTGGGATTAAAACTGAGCGAGTGAAAAGGTGTTTTAACTTACCGATCATCAGTTTAAGAGCTTATCCGTTCGTTAAAAATCAATTGCGTTGGACATAGATTGTTTGAAAATTACCTAAGACGCTGTAAAAATAAAAACATGAGCATAATATTTCTTACCCCAGCCAGGCGAGCGTAAATGATTTATATCATATGCACGTTTACGTCTTTGTTTTAAAAGCTTTTTAAAATTAGTTTTCATGTCCTATTACATCGTAGCACAGTGGGTAATTTTTGTCCTAGGTTTGCTCGTGGTGCACTTGTGCCACGTGTGCCACACCGCCCGCCCGAGTCATTTTAGGTCCTGCCGACATGAGACAGGAGCGAGGAGCGAACACGCTTTGTAACAGAACTTTGGGTTCCGGGCCTGTCATGAAAACGAGCCACGTGTAATAGCAACGTTTCACTGTAACAGTAAAGAGAACACAGGCTTTCCGCCTTCCGGGGCCAAACCGCTTGAAAGATACAAACCTAAATGTTTATTTTGTCATCTTGTTTCTTGATTCTAAGTAACACATATATACGTTTCCGGTTACTATTATTATTTTTTTTTTTACAGTTACCTGCCATGGTTTGAAGTGTATTACAAACTTCTAAACACGCTGGCGGATTACCTGGCTAAGGAACAGGTGAGCGGTGTCCTTCCCCCCCCCCCCCCTTTTTATAAAATTGAGGTAAAGGGCCTATAACATAAAATCCACCATTTTAAACCACTTTTAAGTGCGCCGTCCTGCGCCGTGAAGGACACTCCCACCGCTCGGCCGCCGTCAGCCCGTGGTCTCTGGAATTCCTCGTGTTCCCCGATCTGACGCCGTATCCGTTCAGCATTAGCTCCCCATTGCCCCTGTGTGAAGGTGACTGCGCACCTCCTAGAAGCAGATCGCACAGCGCTGCTCCCTCTGTGACGGGCTTACTCGCCGAGCACGGTTTCAGGGTTCAGCCCACGGTCAGCCTGCGTCAGCATTTCTTCCCTTTCAGTGCTGCGTCCTGGTCCGCTGCGCGCCCGGCCACGGTTCCCTTGTCCGTTCACCTGCGGGCGAGCTCTTGGGTGGCTTCCACCCCTTGGGCGTGGTGACCGTCGCCGCTATGAGCGTGGCTGTGCATTTGCTTAATACCTATTTTATTTATACAGTTTATTTCTTTTTTACTGTAGGAAAATGATTTGAATGTCACCCTCCAAGCTCTCTATAACCACCCGGTACCGAAGGCGAACAGCCCTGTCAATTTGAACGTGGTAAGGATCCCGTCAGTAGTTGATTTCTTGGGGTCGTCGCTGTTTCTCGTTTAAGAACACACTGCGTCTTAAAGTCACCTCCGCCCCCGGGGAAACGCCGGTGCCAGAGCAAACGTCACCAGCTGGTGACGTTGAGACTTTTGGACATGCTTTAACTGTCCTAACCTGATACGTGGGGGGGGAGGGGTGTTTTGGTAGTTGTTAAATCACAGATAGTTTTTTTTATTATACACTAAAAGTAACCGAATCTGCGAGAATATATTTTTTTAAAATATCAGTTTTTATTGGTTTCAGAGAGAGGAAGGGAGAGGGAGAGAGAGATAGAAACATCAGCGGTGAGCCCGGCCGGTGTGGCTCGGCGGTTGAGCATCGCTCTAGGACCCAGGAGATCGGGGTTCGATTCCCGGTCGGGGCACAGGCCCGGGTTGCAGGCTCCATCCCCAGTCGGGGGCGTGCAGGAGGCAGCCGATCCATGACTCTCTCATCATTGATGTTTCTCTCTTTCCCTCTCCCTTCCTCTCTCTGAAATCAATAAAGATAAAAATAAAAAAAAAGAAACATCAATGATGAGAGAGTCATGGACTGGCTGCCTCCTGCACGTCCCCGACTGGGGATCAAGCCCCCAGCCCTGGCACGCCCTCTGCCTGGGCATCGAACCGCGGCCTCCTGGTTCATAGGTCGACGCTCAGCCACTGAGCTAGGCTGGCCGGGCTGTGAGAATATTTTGATTGTGAGGAACATTGATTTTCAAGTGGAATCTATCCATAATAAAGAAATACACACACACATATATATGTATCTAAACACCCCCCAAACCATTAAAAATACTCTTCATAAAATAAAAGAAATACATAGTAAGAATTGAAAACATAGCATATAACAGATCACTAACTATATGATAAAAGTTTGGGGTGAAAAGCGTCCCCTTTCCCTGTACTTCGGTGCATGTCCTAGTGTAATCGCCAAGCGCTGGAAATGTGACTGAAGTCACGCGTAAGTTTGCGACCAGCAGCCTCGGCCGGCTTTCAGAGCTCGCGCACCTGTTCCCAATACAGCACCTGAGCGCAGCTGGCGAGGGCGGTGTTGCCTCAACGCTGTTCAAGTCCGCGGAGCCCTTTCATTTGATTTCAAAAGCAGATGACCGGGGCCCTGTGCTGTTAACGCGTGGCCAAAGTTGTGATTAAATCATTTATTTTTCACCACCAGTAGCAATTCTCGTTTTTTCTGTTACGAAATTTGTTCCACCTCAAGTGGAAAGAAATTTTTCTTTGTTTGCAGAATTTCCATTCGATAAATGGGACAAATCTTGAGAAACGACCGTGATTTTTTACAATCGCCTCTCTTTCGTGAATGGTCCGGCTCTTGGGTTTTTCGAGACTGGACGTTCCGGCCAGTAGCATATCACAGCGATGCTGCGAACATTTAATACCTTACGTCACGATGATTTCGAAACCGTCTTTCAGAATCTTTTTCCCGCAGCATGCTCTGCTCTCAGTCGAGAATGAAGATAGTCCCTTTCAGGTTTTTCTAACACAAAATGAGCAGATCTGCATTGAAAATGCCGTTTACGATCAATGTCATTCAAATCCCTTTGGTGGACAACGTGGCTACGTGGGTTCGTCCCAGCCACACAGCAAATGGTTGTGTCGACTTCCCCCTTGCAAGTAAAATATTCGTTTTCTCTCTCATATATTATAAGAACCAAGAGATATTTATTGCCAGTGAGCGAGTTCTGAAAGACCAGCCCTCCCTGGTACCGGTGAGTTCAAAGGGCACTGGCTTCTCAAAATCACTCTTCAATTGGGAAATGATCGCGCCTCTCACGGCGTCTTTTAAGATTCACGCCGCGCCTCCGGGAGATGGGGAGCGGGTCTGCTGGAAGGAAATCAATCACTTGGGGTCTATTTTCTGTTTGTACGATCTTTCAAAGCCTGGTTCTGCGAGATTGGGTACCACCGGAAAACCCTCCGAGTAACGCAGCGAACAGAGACCAAACCCACCCATATTCTGCATTGTCGGAAGTGATGCCGAAGCGTGAGCTCTGTCACGTTTTCCGTCCCAAGGCCCCTGGAGACCGTGGGGTCCCTCTCACAGTCTCCCCCTACCCCGGGGGGTTACACGTCACGGCCGTGGGAACCTGCCTGGTTCTGACTAGTTCCCCTGAGCTCAATATTGGCCCGAATGTTCCTTTTTTGTCTCCACCCTTAATCCTAAAATAAGACGAAACATGTCCTTATGCGATTAAGGTGGTGAAACGGTTTTGGAGATTAATATGAACAGAAAATAAAACGATCGTGGTGATTCGCTCACACTGTGATTCGGGGGTGGGTAGAGTTTGGGCACGGGAATGGGAAGTCTCACCCGACACGGCGTTTCTACAGATATATGTGGCCTGTCGTAGTGCTTCGAAGGCTACAGAAGCTAATTGGTGTTTGTTTAGGGCACATATGACAGTCGTGTTGTGAAATGAGTCGATATATTTTTAGGAAGTTTTAAATACTTAACAATTATGTCTTTATTGCTGCTTTTTAAATAATACAGCGGCCGATACGTGCAAGAGACATTTGTTGTGACGCACATAGGAAATATCTTAATAGGTTTTGATACATTCTTGGTAAGCAGCCTGTTTCTCCAGTCTCCCTAAACTAAATGTGTTTAAAAAACATATAAGTATATATGAAAATAAAGCTATATATGCCTTTTGTCTTAACTTTCCCCAGGACTGTTATTTTCATTTTAAAACTCAATATTTTTAACCAACACTTACTTCTTTGTATGAGAACGTTCTTGTGAAATCTCATCTGAATCTGCCACCTCATTTAAAAATCTCTCGCATTCAGCAAATCCTGAGCATTGATTGGTCCTCGGTATTTATAAACTTCGTTTGCTATGTGTGTGTTTTTTTTCTTCCATCTATCCCAGATTTTATGCAATTAATCCCGTTGTAATTCTCCTTTCCTTGCTTCCCTTTCGTGGATCAGCATTCCTACTTCATCGCCCCCGACGTCACCGGGCTCCCGACCATCCCTGAGAGTGTGAGTTTTCTGCTTTCTCTGTTTTTTATTCCCTCCATAGTGCGGGTTTTATTTATTTTGGTCTCAGTGCCTACGGATTCCTGTAGAGAGAGAGAGAACACATAGTAACTATCTGTGTGAGAGAAACATTAGGAAACAGGCGGTAACAGTGTTACCCCTTCACGCACCTGCCACGTCCCGGGCCCTGAGCGCCAGGTGGCAGACGGGAAGCGACAGGAGAGCCGCCTGCCGTCACCTGCGGCAGCGCAGGACGACCGCGAAGCCAGCGGGTCGGGGCGGAGGACGCGTCTCGGGAGGCGGCGGGGAGCGAGGGCTGGAAGGGGGACCGTTTTCACCCCGATGGTCACTGCAGCGAACCCACCCTGGAGTTTCAGAGTCCCGCCTCTGTCCCCGTTCCAGCCTTAGGCGTCCTGTGCCGCATTCTGGATTCTCATTTTAAGTCACAGCATATTTTGTACGGCTTGGGGGGGGGTCTCAGGAGAAATTTATAAAAAGCCCAAGTTGCTCCCTCCTGGTCTCTGCTCTGCGTTCGAGGGGCCTTGGGTAGGAAGCGTTGGGCTGGACGGCGGGTGGGGTTCCACCGAGAGGACAGGGAGGGGCCCCTCCACCCAGCGTGGCCCCCACGCACCCACCGTTAGCCACACGTCCTGCTTATTTGCCCCGCCTGTCCCGGGAAGGTCTCTGCCTGCCTGTCGGAAATCAAAGAAATCGCTGGGTTCCCTGTTTTCTTGCCCAGCGAAAGATTTTCGGCTGCCGGGTCGTAGGTCACCGGGTGCGGCAGGTCCAGCTCTTCAGCGCCTTTTACCGTCTCTCCGCCCCTTTGAGGGCAGAACGTGTTTAAAAGGCAGGAAGGAGGAGACGCTCCCAGAGGCAAATCATTGTCCTGTATCCCACTTTCATTCTTACGTGGGAAAAATAGTTTAAAGCGGTAGGTCAAGGAATCGGATGTGACTACCAGCAGATCGTGTCTGGTTATAGCAGAATAAGGCAGGCCTGGTAGGGGCATAAGCCGGGCGTTTTCCTTAATAAAGCGCCAAAGAGCCGCTTCGTAAACCCATCTCCTCCTGGGTGCCCGGGCGTGGTGCCTGGTGTCGGACGAGCGATTGGCAGACACAGGCGGACTCGGGTGTACTCCCCGGAGCAGGTCCCTGTGCAGAACAGTCTCCAGGAGTATTTGTTTAAAAAACAGACCCTTGGGGCATCCTCTGGAGGTGACAGTTCAGCGGGTCCAGGTTGGGGCCCCGGACGTCGGCTTCTTTTACAAGTCCTTGGGGATGGTGGCAGGTACCTGATTCCCTGCTGGGCCTCTGGGAAACATTTTCGAAGCGTGGGACTACGTTTCAGATAATGCTAGAGGGCCCCCTTGCTTCATGTCCCGCAGAACACTATTAAATGTAATTATTTTATTTAAAAATATATACTTTTATTGATTTTAGAGAGAGAGGTAGAAAGATCCATGATGAGAGAGTCGCTGATCGGCTGCCTCCTGCGCGCTCCCGACTGGGGATGGAGCCCGCAACCAGGCCTGTGCCCTGACCGGGAATCGAACCCGGGACCTCTTGGTTCGTAGGTTGACGCCCAACCACTGGGCCACGCCGGGCCTGTTAAATATAGTTATTTGAATGGACACCTTGGTAACAGCAGCATCCCAGGGACGCTAAGCCTTTGGTAAGCGTCTCAGTCGTTGCCCTCGGTCATCCCCGCGAGCTGTAACGCGCACCGTGGTTTCTCCCCGCGCAGAGGAACCTGACGGAGTACTTCGTGGCCGTGGACGTGAGCAACATGCTGCAGCTGTTCGCGAGCATGCTCCACGAGCGGCGCATCATCATCTCCTGCAGCAAGCTGAGCACCGTGAGTACCCCGGGCCCGGCCCGGCCCCCGAGGCCCCCTCCCAGCGGCTCCCGAAGAGGCCCCCGCGCCCCCCGGGCCCGACATGCGCGCTGTGCTCCGGGAAGACAATATCCGCATACTTTTTTTTTGATAAATGGTTGTCATCCGGCTCTTGAAGGACAAAAGTCTGATTTATGGGAGGCCCTCTCCGATGCATTAAGTCGGGTTAATTATTTTTTCTTATCGGGAGATGAGAGTTTTTTTGTGTGTGTGTGTGTCCCCCTCCCCATTTTAACACTCCCGAGTTCATTTGACTGCCTCCTGCCGTAGAAAGAATTCTTAAGGGCTATTATGAAATCTTTATTATTCCCTCGTGGCTCTGCCGCGGGCACCCGTGAATGGAGCCCGGGCCGGGACAATAGCCGCCGCGCTCACCTGGTAATAGGTGGCTCCCTCTTTGTTGCCGAGGATGGGCTGGTCGGAGATTCTATAGCGGTTGTGACTTGGAGGAGCTCTTCAGACGCATAATAACTTAAAGTCAAAGTAGCGGTTTTTGTTAATCACACGCTTGGCGCCGCGGGCTGGCATGTTCTTCGGAGGCTCTTCATCGCCATGGTAAAGGCAGGGAGAACAGGCGTTCCCTCGGGCCGCAGAAAAACATCCCAGGGTCTTTTGCTGGGTGTCCTAACTCTTGTCTGCTTTAGACATTATAATTTTTAAGATTTTTTTGATTGGCTTAACATTTTTAAATATACGTTTAAGTAGAGTTTAGAGTAATAGGTGAGGTATTTATTAAAAACCATTAGTTACGACTGCATGGATTTGCTGTCTTACACATTCGGTTCATTGATTAAAATAAGATGATAGATGCATGTTCTGTTCTGTAGTAGAAATAAAAACTCCATGAAGTTTTAGTATTTCAAAGCAGAAGGGGTTTCTGGATCTTCCTAGGCTGTCTGTTTAGTATTTAATGACGAGGAAGGTATTTTCAGGGGGGTTAAGCGCCCCCCCAGAGACTCGAGAGCTCATTGGAGACAGGCAACGGGATGCTGGGTCCTCTGATTCTAATTCTGGGTTATTTCCATTACTCCACAATTGAAAAAAAAATACAGTTTTTATTTTGAATTGCAATATCGATATGCCACTGGGTCCTCTGATTCTAATTCTGGGTTATTTCCATTACTCCACAATTGAAAAAAAAATACAGTTTTTATTTTGAATTGCAATATCGATATGCCACTGGGTCCTCTGATTCTAATTCTGGGTTATTTCCATTACTCCACAATTGAAAAAAAAATACAGTTTTTATTTTGAATTGCAATATCGATATGCCACTGGGTCCTCTGATTCTAATTCTGGGTTATTTCCATTACTCCACAATTGAAAAAAAAATACAGTTTTTATTTTGAATTGCAATATCGATATGCCCACCTTTCCAAAAAAACAAACATATTCTCTTACATATATAGACACATGTAATACACGTAATAGCATCTGCATAAGATTCATGATTCTTCAGTGATTGTCGGCTAAGATTTTCCAGTGGACAGGATAATGCAGTTCAGAGTAAAAAGCAACACCCCCCCCCTTAACCTTATTTGAATTAAAAAATAAATCACTTTCAAAGAGGCTTGGTATCACTCGGGGAGTTGTTTCCTATGTTCGAGGTAAATAATACCAGTCGCTTATGGCCGATCGTGAAAACCCCGTGGCGACGTCACCTCTGCGCCACCGGCTTCGTTTGGGTCGCTGTCGGGGACAGTCCCGTGAATCCGCCCCACAGTCAGGATCGCGGGGGAGCTGCTTCCCCTGAGTCTGTCTTGAAAAATTCATGTGTCCCGTCGGCCGGGAACCCTACACCTGGTGACACTAAAGGCCAAAGGCTAGTGCCTGATGTAAATTAGGGACGAATTATTTTTAGAGAGAATTTAGCGAAACCCTGAAACATCCCAGGAAAGAGCAGCTGGCGTGGCAGGGAGCTGACTCGCTATCGAGTTTTCCGTAAGAAAGAAGTCGTTGCGCTCATTTTAAAAATCCACGGCCAAAATTTTAATTGTGGAAACAACACGTATGAATGGAGGTGCACTTGCATTCATTATTTTATTGCAGTTTTAGGAATTTCGTTTGGGTTTTTACTCTTTGACATCCATGACTTTACGTGAATCGCGTTTGCCCGCCTCATAGCTCGCTGGGGGTTTAGTGGCGATGCCGGTTAGAGAACTCAGGCGCTTGAGACTGTCTTTCTTTACATACTGTTTCTAGTTAAAATTGTTCTTTTTAATGACCTCAATAGACATAAACTTTAAAGTAAAATAAAACGCTATTTTTTTTGAGGTACGTTAGCAAAAATATTAGGTGTTGTTATGTTAACATTTTAACGGGTTCCCCCACCCCGAATACTCAAGTGAGTTTTGTTACATTTTTATGTGTTTGAGTTCGTGGGCTGGGACCTAAGGCACCTTTGCGTTTGCCCTGTTGCTGCACCCGTTGTCGAGCACCCGCGGCGGGTCCACGCTCCCGGCGGGCCTTCCGGGGCCCCGCCCGCGTGCGTCGCGGGCTCGCAGATCCTCAGGCCCGAGCCTCCGTGCCGAAAGCCCGGGAGCACATCGCGACGTTACCCGGGTCTGTCGGTTCACTCGGTGCTGTTCCGTGCCCGGAGCGGGGGACGTTGCTGTTGGAAGTCAGGTCATCCCTCCTCAAGTCAGCCGGGCATGACGTCCGGTCACCCGCCTCCACGACCGTACCTCGGGCCTTCCCGCACCCGTCAGCCTCGCCTGACAGGAGACGCGCCGTCGGTAATATGTTAACGGGGGTGGCGCTGGGTGGCCCGGAGCAGCCGGAGCCCGAGACGCCCCCCACGGAAGCAGATGTTTAAACCCGGGCTGCTGTTCTGACCAGCGCCGGGTGGGTGAACGTCACCCCCCGACGTCTGTAAGCGCGTTAGTTCCAGAGATTTGACCGCCGGCGCGTGTTCTTTCTGGAACGTCCCCAGCGAGCAGCAC